TTTGTTATTTAACTGCAAATTTATATAACATTTAACAAAATAATTTAAATAAAAGTACATTAACACGTTCAATGCGGATAACGCAGTTTTCCACGTCTACAAAAAGTTGCTTGATTTAAATAATATAGTGATAAAGACATATAAATATCTATAATTATAGACATCTAAGTGTCTATATTGCTGACAAATTATTTATATACATTTAAAAATTTAGTTTATGTAGTGAAACTAAAAAAATTTAGAAGCAATGAACGTGTTGAAAGGGAACTATAATTAATTATAGTTAATTATAGTTTTAATTTCTAAAATATTTATTTTCAACTGCAAATAAAAATAATGGACATACCCTGGATAGTTTTCGTGGACGTAGGCCTTAGCGACGTCAACTTCTTGTTGAGTAGATTCGACTTCCGTAAGATAATGCTTGCCAGCGAAGACTTTAAGCTTACCAAGTTTCAATACACAGTGTCCAGCAGTTAAGACAAAATTCTCGTTTATAATGGAACCACCACATGAATGACTAAAAGGAATTAAGGGTGGAAGACCCCATCGAACAGAGACTTGATAAGGGAATTCACCCGGTGTGGCATCCTCTCCATCGGTAATCCTGGGTTTCAAGCCGAATGGGACGGCCAGACACGCTATAAAAAGATTAAAAAAAGCTTTTAATGCGTAGTTCTTTTAGAATCACAGTGAAACTTTTGTAACGTTTACTAAATATTTTAATTTTATAATGTGTTTAGCATTATTTTTATTTTTTTAGAATATATAACATTATTTTAAAAATAAATCTCTCGTTTAAAAGCGCACTATTTTATATATTTGTATAATTATTAGGAAACTTTTTATTAAATGTCTTTTTATTTATTAAATGTTTTTTCAGAAATGGCTAATATATATATATTTGATATAATTCTAAAAAAAATTTGCACTCTGCATATTGGCTGTCATATTATATTAAAAAATATAAAATATACAAATTTTATTTTTATTAAAAAAATTCTAAGAAAAAATTTTAAGTATATGATGTATGTATTGTATATATTGTATATTTTATATAAAATACAAAAAATAAATGTGTGTGTACTTACCCTGGAATACCAAAACAATAGCTAAAAGGCTCCGAATCAACATTGTCGGTATGTTAGCTCAATAGAACCTAAGCACAAGATGAATCTGAACAAGATCTTACGGCTTATATACTGTGAAATAACTCACACTATCTCGCGATAAGGTATGCGTGTCTTTTAGATTAACCTTGATAACGCAATTTCTTTTTGCACACGTAGATAAGCATGCACTGACCACACACTTTCTTTATCATTA